ATCTGGCCAGTATTTTCAGAAAAGATCTTTGAAGTTTCAGATGGAAAAAAAAAAAAAAACAAAAAAAAATAATGAAAGGAACAATATTTTTCAAAACTGTGAACGGTCTTTGTAGACATTGTCCCAAGGAAGCTCCATGCCAAATTTGATGTGAATCTGGCCCCTAGTTTTGGAAAAGAATATTTTCAAAATTTCGGATGAAATAAAAAAAAAAATCATTAAAATTTGTAAACACAGTATTTTTCAAAACTGTGAGCAGTTTTTGTGAACATTGTCCCACGGAAGCTCCATACCAAATTTGAAGTGAATCTGGTCCACAGTTTCAGATAATAAAATGTTTGAAGAATTTGCAAACGCACGCAGACTCCACAACAAATAGAGTAGGCCAAGAGTAAACATGGTACTGACCCTAACAATTTCAATAACCTCCGCCATATTTCAAATCTACCTTTACTGTCCAAAATTCTCCAAAAAATAGTTGCCTCTCAGCTCCATTTTCACCTATCCAACAATAATCTGTACGAACAATTCTAGTCTGGTTTCCATCCCCTCTATAGCACAGAAACTGCCCTATAGTCAAAATCACTAACAATCTCATCATGGCAGCAGATTCTAGACGATTATCAATTCTCATCCTTCTTGACCCGAGCGCGTTTGATACCATTTCCCACAATATTCTCATTGATTGACTGTCTTCTATTGGTATTTCAGACACACCCCTTCAATGGTTTAAATCAGTGGTCTTCAACGTCGTTCCTGGGGACCCACTGTGTATGCTGGTTTTTGTTCCAACCACAATTGTAATCGCAGGATTTTAACAAGCTGTTAATGTCTTAACTAGGTGTTTTTCATGTTTAGAGTTGTTAATTACTCACTTTAGCCAAATGTTACATAGAAACATCCATACCTGCTATGAAGAATAACATACCCCAGAAGATAGTGTGTTTATTTCTATACTGCTAGAAATTTCAAGCAATATAACATTTCAAACAGATCAAATTAGACACTGAGGAAATCAGTAAACCCCAAATTAGGCTGCTGGACACAACTGTTTTAAGTTCTTTCAAAAAACTTCAGGTGAACTTAATTAGATTAACATAACACAAAACTGGTTTGACTCTTTACCATTTTCTTGTCAAATAAATTTGTCATGATGTGCAAATTAGTTTTCACCAATTAGGAGTCAACTACATCTTTAATTTGATTGGTTACTTGGTTTTCTCTCATTTTATGACGTTATTTCTGATGCATCACAATGTGGGTATGGTATTTTTTTTATTCTTGATGGCAAACAAAGATGTTTCTGTTAACTTGTGAGTTAAGAGGGCAAATACCTGCTCTAAACATTAAAAACACTTAAGACAAATTAGCAGCTTGTTAAAATCCTGCAATTACAACTGTGGTTGGAGTAAAAACCAGCATATACAGTGGGTCCCCAGGAACGACTTTGAAGACCAATGGTTTAAATCATATCTTGCCAGCTGCACTCAGCTCATTCAACTCCATTCTTTCAAATCACAACCTTTTCCGGTTTCCTCAGGCATTCCCCTGGGGTCTGTCCCGGGTCCCCTTCTTTTCCTCATCAACTTACCTCTTAGCCATATTTTCTGCAAATTCAACATTAATTTTCATTATTATGCGGATGACGCCCAGCTCTAACTCTCAACCAAACCAAACTCCAACCTCCCGCCTACCATCCCCCGTGACTGTCTACATGAAATCAAATCCTGGTTCTCGGTCAACTTTCTCAAACTTAACAGTGATAAAACTGAAATTTTACTAATTGGCACTATATCTACCCTATCCAGCTCTGGTACTTCTTCTCCCACTGTCGATCAATCTTCGATTTCCCCTTCCCCTCAGTTTAAGAGTCTGGGTGTCATCCTCGATTCACCTCTGTCTCTTCATGCTCAAATCAATCATGTTCACTGGACTGCGAACTTCCACCTGCCATCATTAATCGCCTCCGCCCATCCATCACGCCTAACACCACCGCTATTCTTATCCATCTCGTGTTACTTCCTGTCTTGATTATTGCAACTCACTTCTCTTCGGTCTTCCACATAAATCTCTCCTTAAACTTCAACTAGTCCAGAGTGCCGCTGCCCGCATCATCTCCAGAATCCCATCCAATCATTGCATCACCCCTGTTCTACAACATCTCCAGTGGCTCTCTATCCATTACTGCATTGGTTTTAAAATTCTTCCACTTACTTTCAAAGCCATTCACAACCTCGCTCCCTCATATATCTCTGATCTGCTTCACATGAACACACCTTTTCACACTCTCAGATCTTCTTTTTGGATTCATCTCACTGTTCCCTCTGCCCGTCTGTCAACCTTTGGTTCCCGAGCCTCCAGCCGCTCTGCCCCCTGCCTCTGGAATTCCCTCCCTCCTGATCTCAGAAACATTGACTCAATCCAAATCTTCAAATCACGCTAAAAGACGCATCTGCTCAGACTGGCACATTCTTTTTAACTGTTTGTGTGGATATTTGATTGTGATCTTATTTTTTTCATTTAATCTTGTTCAGTGTCCTTGAGTGTCCTGAAAGGCACTATATAAATAAAAATGTTTTATTATTATTATTATTATGATTATATATCAACCCCATCTTGAAGCGCCACTGACTTCTCTGGGCTCCAGCTCATATAAAATGGACTGAAGTGAAGTGGAAGGAATGCTGTGGTCTGAGTTCACCGTTAATTTATTTTTTTTTTTTAAATAGACATTGTGCTCCTAGGGTCAAAGAAAAGAAGGACCATCATGACTGATATCAGCACCATGTTGGAAAATCAGTGTTTGTCTTGGTCTGGGGCTGCATTAGTGTTATTAGTTTATTCAGAGTAGAGCAGTGCTGTGCTTATCAGCTGTGGTGAAAGTGCTGCTGGGTAATTCCCCCCCCCCCCATTGTCCAGCACGGGCATTACCCCCCACTCCAGGCCCCATCCTGAATGCAGTCTTTGTGGGGTCTGCATTTCCATGGAAACTGCACAGCTGGTCCCAGAAGTTTGGTCAACACATGGAATCATTTAAAGTGAATCCCCCTTAGCGCGTACACACATACACACGCCATGCACACACAACACCTACAGATACAGGGCCTCTAGCCCTTGCCCTGCTTCAGATGTCATTAAAACCCATCAGGGTCCTCCTCCTTTCCACAGCCTGAAGTCACGATTGAAATTGTTACAAGTGCTTTTAAAGATGAATTTTTTAGAAAGTGTCTTAACTTGAAACAGCTGTAAAATAACATATACCATAAAATAACATGCTTTCATGGCCTGAATACCCACACAGTAGGCCCCAATCGTAGGTCTACACGGCAAAAGCCAAGACATGAAGTACTCAGATTCATAAAGTGCTCTCAGCTGTGAGCCCTGTAATTATGGACCAAAAGTCTTTTTATCTCTGGTAGTGATGTGGCCCTCCATCCGTTCCGCAATGGGATATGACCACGCAATGTTCAGACAGCTCAGATTCCGTTCCGCAGATACTGGATCCTGTTCCTCGGCACAGACAGATCGTGTCCTCACAGTTCTGAGTGAACTCTGCAAAAAGGCAAGTGTTGTCAGTCTTATAATGACACTTGTTTTTTTATCTTCCAAGTGCAAAATGTAAGCTTGTTTTGAGTCTGTTTGCTATATGAATTTGATCTTGCCCCATTGACATACCTAGCCATGAGTAAAATGACCTACCCTCAGCAGTGATATTTTGTTCTTGTATAACTGTGCTTGCGCTAGCCAATCGCCACATCGCCATAGGCACAGCCATATTCTGTATGGCGATGGCTTTTTTTAGCCTGTTTAGCCACTGTGGCGAAGCTAAAGTCTACTGAAAATTTTTTTTGCAGCTTTTCTTTGAGCAAAAAACAAGGAAAAGCAAATGCGCCTCCTTTTCGGAAGAGTGCATCCAAGTACACCCGACCACAGCATTTTTTTTTTTTTTAAATTTGGCATCTCCAATCCCACCCGAATCTGGAATGTCCTATTAGAGAACTATGTACAAGGCTTTCACAGATGCGACCCCCTGTTGCCAACTCAGGAGAGTGAAGACAGTTCGCGGCTCTCCTCCAAAGCACGCGCCTGTCAGCCACTGCTTCTTATACACTCAACGGTTGAATCTTCGCAAGATCAGAACGAGGGCGGAGGATACCCGAACATGAACAAGCTTAGAATCTTCCTGACGAGCGCCTGTCTGGCCAACAGGAGGCGCCTAAGCAACGAACAAAGCAACTTAAATTACCCTTCCCAATTTGCATCCTTGTAGCGCATTGGCCAATTGAGTGCTACTTCTGAAAAAGCTGCCGACCACTGCCAGTTGGTACGACCGGGGCTTGAACCCGCTCCGTGATAGTCACTTCTGCTCCGCAATGCCATGCTTTAACCAAGTGGGCTATCCAGCAGCTTGACCTCAGCATTTGTGAACATTTTGTCCAATCAGAAGAGCGCGGTATCTTTGTCTCATTCGCTCCATTTCCTCCATGGCGTGCGACAAGTCCACATGTGTAGATGAATGATCGAATATTTAGAAGTTATAACAGAAGACTGGGATGAGATATTATACAAAATAAGGTAATTTTATGCATACAAATTCTTACAGAAGTAATGGTAAGCAAAAAATGCCTGTTAAATTATATGATGATGCCCCTCTTGCATTTTTATTAATTTGCAAGTCTTAGGAATTTACTAGAAATTTTATGTGCAAACATGGCACACGTGCGGGAACTTGTACATGAATGTCATGATATTATTCTTCTTATTATTATTACTATTTTTCAGAGGACAGATGTGGAACCTACACATGACATTTCTTCTTAACAAAATTTTATGTGCAGAGCACCAACATTGTGGCTACTTGTGGCTAAACAATTTTTTCTGACTTTAGCCACAGTGGCTACACATATTTTTTCCCTAGTGCGAGCACAGTATAACAATTAGATAACAAAAATAGGATTTGAATGTCTTGCATGAGTCAAATCAACAAGCCTAAAAATAAATGCCTCTTGTGAGGATCCAACTCATGACATTCAGATTATGACGCTGACGCACTACCTACTGCACTAACGAGGCTAAAACTGCATTTCCCACTCGCTTGATCGACCGTCACCTAAACTGGAAAAAGCGCAAAATACTCAAATCCCTTGCCAAAGGAAGGCTGATATCTGGACTGGAAAAAAAAACGCACTGCAGGGACGGACAAATGGACTGATGGATGGACGAAAGAAAGAGAAGGGACATCTACACGATAAGATGTATCCATTAATGACATTTCATTGAGAAATATTGAACGGTATCGGAGTTCTAGCATGGAAAAAGCGTGACGGACGGACAGACGGACACGCTGAAGTACAACACTCATTCCAATATCCTCATCCACATCAAGGGGAGGGATAATTAGTAACACATAGTTCCAAATAATTACCAAGGAAAATATTTCGCAATACAATTCAAAATGAGGAAATGTTCTGTCAATAAAAGCTGTGAGTTGTACTGTTGAGTTTGTACAATTTGATTTAACCAAAAGTTCATGTGATCATTGATCACGATCCTTATAAAATTTTTTTCCGACCAAATTTCCTCCTCAAACATGGTGGTTCACCCCATCATTCCAGTTCTCAATAATATGTTGGACAGTTCTTAACCCAATTTTAGCAGTTTCAGAAATCTTCTCAGTAGTTTTCATTGCTTGATGCAGGGCAATAATTGGACCCCTCTGAAACAGAGTAACCTCTTTTCTATGAATATCAGATATGTCGTCCTGCATGGTTGTTCCAGAAAGAAGAAGCTACTCACTGCATCAGTTAGGGGAAAATAACTTGCTGCTAGCTGAAACATATTAATCACTGCAGAAATTATCCAAAAGAAGGCTGTTACCTATTTTCTTATTTAAATCTAGGTGGTGCCTTATTTTCTCAATAAAACGTTGGACAGTTCTTAACCCAATTTTTGCAGTTTCAGCAATCTCCTTAGTAGTGTTCTTTGCTTGATGCAGGGCAATAATTTGAACCCTCTTGAAACAGAGTAACATCTTTTCCAAGAATATCGGCTATGTCGTCCAATTGTTTCAGAAATGAGTAGCAACTCACTGCATTAGTTAGGGGAAAAAAACTTGTTGCTAGCTGAAACATTACTTACTGCAGTTGTTATCCAATTGAAGGCTCTTTCCTATTTGCTTCTTTTAGTATACTTGGTGACTTTTTTTGGCCAGGCAGAGTAATATTAGCATGTCTTGCATGAGCCATATCAACAAGCAAATTCACAAATGCAAGAGCATGCCACGGCCCAATAATATCCAGGTGAGCCTGAGTTATGAGCTGGTACTGCACAGTTATCCAGGTGAAGTAAAATCCATGCCTCGTGTGAGGATGGAAATGACAACCTTCAGATTATGAGACTGTCCTGCTACCTACTGCACTAAAAAGGCAAAAAGTGTATTGCCCACTCGCATAATCAACCGTCGCCTAAACTGAAGAAAGTGCAAAATGCTTGAATCCCTTGCCATAGGAAGGCTGATATCTGGACTGGAAACAAAACACAGTGTAGGGATGGACAGACGGACTTAAGGACGGACGAAAGTAAGAAAAGGCACATCTACACGATAAGATGTATACATTTATGACATTTCGTCCAGAAATATTGAACGGTACAGGAGTTCTGGCATGGAAATAAGCATGACGGACGGACAGACGGACACGCTGAAGTCCAACACTCATTCCTATATCTTCAGCCACATCAAGGGCAGGGATAATTAGTAACACATAGTGCCAAATAATTAACAAGGAAAATATTTCACAATACAATTCAAAATGAGGAGATGTTCTTTCAATAATAAACATAGCTGTGAGTTCTACTGTTGACTTTCTACAATTAGATTTAACCAAACGTTCATGTGACCATTGATCACGATAATTCAAAGATTTTTTTTCCGACCAAATTTCTTCCTCAAACATAATGGTTCACCCCATCATTCCCCTTCTCAATAATATGTTGGACGGTTCTTAAGCTGATTTTAGCAGTTTCAGATATCTCCTAAGGAGTTTTCATTGCTTGATGCAGGGCAATAATTTGACCCCACTGAAACAGAGTAACCTCTTTTCCATGAATATCAGATATGTCGTCCAGCATGGTTGTTCCAAATAAGAGACAACTCACTGCGTCAGTTAGGGGGAAAAAAAAAACTTGCTGCTAGCTGAAACATTAATCACTGCAGTTATTATTCAATTGAAGGCTCTTTCCTATTTGCTTATTTTAGTATAGTTGGTGCCATGTTTTGGACAGGCAGTGTAATATCAGCATGTCTCGCATGAGCCATACCTACAAGCATATTCACAAAAGCAAGAGGATGCTACGGCCCAATAATTTCCAGGCGAATGTCAGTTATGAGTTGGCACTGCCCAGTTACCCACGTGAAGTAAAAATCCATGCTCCGTGTGAGGATTGAACTCACGACCTTTAGGTTACAATACTGACGAGCTACCGACTGCGTTAACGAGGCCAAAAATGCACTTTCCGCTCGCATAATCAACCGTCACATGAGCTGAAAAAAAGCGCAAAATACTGAAATCCCATGCCATGGGAAGGCCGATATCTGGACTGGAAACAAAACGCAGTGTAAGGACGGACAGACGAACTAAAGGACGAAAGAAAGTAAGAAAAGGCACATCTACACGATAAGATGTATCCATTTACGATAATTCGTCGAGAAATATTGAACGGTACAGGAGTTCTGGCATTGAAATAAGCATGACGGACGGAAAGACGGACACGATGAAGTACAACACTCATTCCAATATCCTCAGCCTCATCAAGGGGAGGGATAATTAGTAACACATAGTTCCAAATAATTACCAAGGAAAATATTTCACAATACAATTCAAAATGAGGAGATGTTCTTTCAATAATAAACAAAGCTGTGAGTTCTACTGTTGACTTTCTACGATTTGATTTAACCAAACGTTCATGTGACCATTGATCACGATCCTTCCAAGATTTTTTTCCGACCAAATTTCTTCCTCAAACATAATGGTTCACCCCATCATTCCCCTTCTCAATAATACGTTGGACGGTTCTTAACCTGATTTTAGCAGTTTCAGATATCTCCTAAGGACTTTTCATTGCTTGATGCAGGGCAATAATTTGACCCCACTGAAACAGAGTAACCTCTTTTACATGAATATCAGATATGTCGTCCAGCATGGTTGTTCCAGAAAAAAGAGGCAACTCACTGCATCAGTTAGGGAAAAAAAAAAATTGTTGCTAGCTGAAACATTGATCACTGCAGTTATTATTCAATTGAAGGCTCTTTCCTATTTGCTTATTTTAGTATAGTTGGTGACTTTTTTTGGCCACGCAGAGTAATATCAGCATGTCTCGCATGAGCTATACCCACAAGCATATTCACAAAAGCAAGAGGATGCTACGGCCCAATAATTTCCAGGCGAATGTCAGTTCTGAGTTGGCACTGCCCAGTTACCCACGTGAAGTAAAAATCCATGCTTTATGTGAGGATTGAACTCACGACCTTTAGGTTACGATACTGACGAGTTATCGGCTGCGTTAACGAGGTCAAAAATGTAATTACCACTCGCATAATCAACCGTCACATGAACTGAAAAAAGCGCAAAATACTGAAATCCCTTGCCATGGGAAGGCTGGTATCTGGACTGGAAACAAAACGCAGTGTAAGGACGGACAGACGAACTAAAAGACGGACGAGAGTAAGAAAAGTCACATCTACACGATAAGATGTATCCATTTACGATATTCCATCGAGAAATATTGAATGGTACAGGAGTTCTGGCTTTGAAATAAGCATGACGGACGGAAAGACGGACACGCTGAAGTCCAACACTCATTCCAACATCCTCAGCTACATCAAGGGGAGGAATAATTAGTAACACATAGTTCCAAATAATTACCAAGGAAAATATTTCACAATACAATTCAAAATGAGGAGATGTTCTTTCAATAATAAACATAGCTGTGAGTTCTACTGTTGACTTTCTACGATTTGATTTCATCAAACGTTCTTGTGACCATTGATCACGATCCTTCCAAGATTTTTTTCCAACTAAATTTCTTCCTCAAACATAATGGTTCACCCCATCATTCCCCTTCTCAATAATACGTTGGACGGTTCTTAAGCTGATTTTAGCAGTTTCAGATATTTCCTAAGGACTTTTCTTTGCTTGATGCAGGGCGATAATTTGACCCCACTGAAACAGAGTAACCTCTTTTCCATGAATATCAGATACGTCGTCCAGCATGGTTGTTCCAGAAATAAGAGGTAACTCACTGCATCAGTTAGGGGAAAAAAAAAACTTGTTGCTAGCTGAAACATTAATCACTGCAGTTATTATTCAATTGAAGGCTCTTTCCTATTTGTTTATTTTAGTATAGTTGGTAACTTTTATTGGCCAGGCAGAGTAATATCAGCATGTCTCACATGAGCTATACCTACAAACATATTCACAAAAGCAAGAGGATGCCACGGCCCAATAATTTCCAGGCGAATGTCAGTTATGAGTTGGCATTGCCCAGTCATCCACGTGAAGTAAAACTCCATACCCCATGTGAGGATTGAACTCACGACCTGCAGATTATGAGACTGACGCGCTACCGAGGCCGAGAATACACTTTTCGCTTGCATAATCAACCGTCGCATGAACTGAAAAAAGCGCAAAATACTCAAATCCCTTGCCATGGGAAGGCTGATATCTGGACTGGAAACAAAACGCAGTGTAGGGACGGACAGACGAACTAAAGGACGGACGAAAGTAAGAAAAGGCACATCTACACGATAAGATGTATCCATTTATGATATTTCGTCGAGAAATATTGAACGGTACAGGAGTTCTGGCATTGAAATAAGCATGACGGACAGAAAGACGGACTCGCTGAATTCCAACACTCATTCCAATATCCTCAGCCACATCAAGGGGAGGGATAATTAGTAACACATAGTTCCAAATAATTACCAAGGAAAATATTTCACAGTACAATTAAAAATGGGATGTTCTTTCAATAATAAACAAAGCTGTGAGTTCTACGGTTGACTTTCTACGATTTGATTTAACCAAACGTTCATGTGACCATTGATCACGATCCTTCCAAGATTTTTTTCAGACCAAATTTCTTCCTCAAACATAATGGTTCACCCCATCATTCCCCTTCTCAATAATACGTTGGACGGTTCTTAACCTGATTTTAGCAGTTTAAGATATCTCCAAAGGACTTTTCATTGCTTGATGCAAGGCAATAATATGACCCCACTGAAACAGAGTAACCTCTTTTCCATGAATATCAGATATGTCGTCCAGCATGGTTGTTCCAGAAATAAGAGGCAACTCACTGCATCAGTTAGGGAAAAAAAAAAAAAACTTGTTGCTAGCTGAAACATTAATCACTGCAGTGATTATTCAATTGAAGGCTCTTTCCTATTTGCTTATTTTAGTATAGTTGGTAACTTTTATTGGCCAGGCAGAGTAATATCAGCATGTCTCGCATGAGCTATACCTACAAGCATATTCACAAAAGCAAGAGGATGCTACGGCCCAATAATTTCCAGGCGAATGTCAGTTACAAGTTGGCATTGCCCAGTTATCCACGTGAAGTAAAACTCCATGCCCGTGTGAGGATTGAACTCACGACCTTCAGATTATGAGACTGACGCGCTACCTACTGCGCTAACGAGGCCAAAAATGCACTTTTCGCTCGCATAATCAACGGTCGCATGAACTGAAAAAAGCGCAAAATACTCAAATCCCTTGCCATGGGAAGGCTGATATCTGGACTGGAAACAAACGCAGTGTAGGGACGGACAGACGAACTAAAGGACGGATGAAAGTAAGAAAAGGCACATCTACACGATAAGATGTACCCATTTATGATATTTCGTCGAGAAATATTGAACGGTACATGAGTTCTGGCATTGAAATAAGCATGACGGACGGAAAGACGGACACGCTGAATTCCAACACTCATTCCAATATCCTCAGCCACATCAAGGGGAGGGATAATTAGTAACACATAGTTCCAAATAATTACCAAGGAAAATATTTCTCAATACAATTCAAACATGCGGAAATGTTCTTACTTTCACTTATAAACATAGCCGTGAGTTCTACTGCGGATTTTCTACGATTTTTTTCACCAAACGTTCACGTTATCTCTGATCACGATCATTCAGGATTTTTTTCAACCACATCTCCCCCTCAAAGATGGTTTAGCACCATCATTCCAGTTCTCAATAAAACGTTGGACAGTTCTTACCACAATTTTAGCAGTTTCAGCAATCTGCTTAGTAGTGTTCTTTGTTTGATGCAGGCTAATAATTCTACCCCTCTCAAACAGAGCAACATCTGAATACTGAAGTACAACACTCAGTCCTATATCCTCATCCACATCAAAGGGAGGGATAATTAGTCACATATAGTAACACTTAATTACCAGGGATTATATTTGTTAACACAATTCAAACATGGAAATGTTCTTACTTTCACCAACAAACATAGCCAAGAGTTTTGCTGTTGATTTTCTACAATTTCATACAACTTAATATATTCGTTAGAAGTATTTGTTTTGTGACTCAACCCCATCTGGTGATTCACTTCTGTTCTGCATGCTTTGAGGGAGTTTTTTCCTCCATATCAAACGAACTCTAATATTTGATCACTTATGCTCTCCAAGCAATATCTGCTTGACCACTGCGGCCCCTGGACATCACCAGACACTTGGTACCATTCCTGGTCATATTCTACCTTTTCCTTGTCAGACTGCCCCTCAGTTCCGGCTCGTTCCAAGGTATTTTGCCTCCAGTCTCCTCTTCTGCATCCAAAATGCATGTTAAGTTGGATTCAGATCCAGTGAATGACTTGACCAACAGACCTATACATCAAAACTAGGCCTACGCTGTCGGCGGCCGACAGCTTGGGGTATATCCCTGAAATTCCCCAATCCTCAAAGCCCCCTTTATTAGATTCCCCTTTACTAGACCTACAATATGAGGCAAATTTGAGGTCTGTGCAAGTAATTGTTCCAGAGATATGGTCAAAAAACTGATTTCTTTCAATATATAGCGCCACCTGGTGGCAAACCTAGGAGTGCAAACTTGCCCAAAATCTAATCAGTTCATCCTCTCTACCATATCTACCCATGTGCTAAAAAAAGAGAAGCCATTGTCAAGTATTTTATGAGTTATCGTGCTAACGGCTAAAATTTGCGGACACGGCGGCGGCGGTGGGTGGGGCGAAACCATGATATACCCGAAACTCATATTTCGGGGATATAAATATGTCATCGTCCAGTGAATGATGGTGCTCAAGGTAAACTGTGTCCAGAAAGATGGATTTTAAGTTCACCTACTTAATTCCCACAGCATCTGCATGACCATAAAAAAAAAAAAAAAATCACAATTCCACAACTATCACAGAACGGCAGCTTATCGACAGGGACCTTCGTGCGGCACATTCTCCAGGAATTATTTTCAAGGCCTGA